CCCGTGACGTCAGCGTGCAGCGTCACGCCGGGAGGGACGCACGAAAGTGTAACTTTCAATTTTTTCCCTCCCCCTTGCCGGGGAACCTCCAAGCTTTAGGGGTGGGGGGGGAGGAGGCAGCAAAGCGAGGGACTGAGGGACTCCTCCAACGACAAGGGTTGGGGAAGAAGAGAAAGTTATAGTTGTTTTTTAAAAAGTGATAATTTCATTGTTCTGTTTTTTTGTAAACCGCTTTGAAGGGTTCCTTCTCGGCACGCCCCCCCCCGACAATCAAGCAGCGTATCAATTCCATGAAGCACCAAATGCAGGCGCGTCTCAACTCACGTCTCGGAAGTGGGCGAGGCCGCGCTCGCCCAGGGCGCTGAGACACTCGTAGGCCGAGCCTGCCTGGAGGAAGAGCTGCGCCAGGCACATCGCCTCGCTGCGGAAGAGGGAGCCCATGGCGGAGGGCGCCCAGGCCGGGCCTGAGGAGGCGCAGCGGCAGAGGCGGCGTCACCGCTCTCCTCGGCGCCGCCTCTGCTCCGCCGGCGCCGCTGCTGCCGTCCCGCTGCGGAGGCGGCTCCGGGGACTGGCGGGCCCCCCGCTGCCCGGTGCCATGGAGAGGAGGCAGGCGAGGGAGACGGAGACCCGAGTGGCCCCGAGTCCCGCGGCTTCCGGCTTCTCCTCGCAAGTCCAGGCGCCGCCGAGAGAGAAGAGGCAGGGAAAGCCTAGAGCGGCCAACCGCACGCTCACCTCGGAAGTTCCGGTCAATAAGACAGCGCCATTGGCCCGGGCACTCTGCCCCTCGGCACCTCTATGGCTGGCCCGAATACCGAGCGAGAAGCGGTTTCGTCTCTGTGGTAGGGAGGAGCAAAGAAGGGCCCAGCCAGGCGGGCCGAACGAAAGCGACCCCAGAGTTCCTGTGCTTCCCTGGTGGGGCCGGCCATTGCCTTTCCCTTGGGCAGGGCGAGGGAATTCCCAGGCTGCAGCCTCTCGCGCTGGTGCCTCAAAGGCCTTTGCCTTTCCCGTGTCACATGTGGAAAAGGGGGCTGGATCCAGTGACGCAACTCGGAAAACTGTTAGGGAAGCCAGAGCAGGGAAGTGAGTGGGAGGCGGCGTCGCCGCTTTAACCCACGTTTCCTTTTTGAAAGAGAAACCAGTGTTTCCCAACCTTTTTTGGACTCGCTCGCGGCACACCAGGCAACAGCTCGCGGCACATTAGTGTGCCGCGGAACACCGGTTGGGAAACACTGGTCTAATGAAGGCCAGAGCCACAATTAGCTTTAAATAGTGGAGGCACCTGCTGACTGCCCAAGCACCATTTTGCAGTTGTGAGCTGGCAGAATCCCTTAAAGGGCAGAACTGAAAGTCTTGCTTTCCCAATATGCCTTCTGTCTTTTTACTCAGAGGCTTACAATGAAACAAGGTGGTGGGCAGTCTCCTTTCACATAATTTATTGGAACACACTGGTGGAGAAGAGGCTTTGGGCTATTCATTCAAAATGTCTCTGGCCTCCAAGGCTGAGTCAAAGTTTTCTCCTTGAGGCTGAGCCATGGATTGCTTTCCCCTTGAACAGGTCCTTAGCAGTTTTGAAGAAGGCTGTGTCTAAGTTATGCTTCTCTTGACTTGCATATGATCACTGAAGAATTGATACTTTTGAATTATGGTGCTGGAGGAGACTCTTGAGAGTCCCATGGACTACAAGAAGATCAAACGTATCCATTCTTAAGGAAATCAGCCCTGAGTGCTCACTAGAAGGACAGATCGTGAAGCTGAGGCTCCAATACTTTGGCCACCTCATGAGAAGAGAAGACTCCCTGGAAAAGACCCTGATGTTGGGAAAGATGGAGGGCACAAGGAGAAGGGGACGACAGAGGACGAGATGGTTGGATAGTGTTCTCAAAGCTACCAGCATGAGTTTGACCGAACTGCGGGAGGCAGTGGAAGACAGAAGTGCCTGGCGTGCTCTGGTCCATGGGGTCACGAAGAGTCGGACACAGCTAAATGACTAAACAACAACAACAACAAACCCCACAAGCTTTGGGGTCTCAGGCATCTAGGTACATAAACGTTTTAAGGGGAAAGCAGTTGTGATGCCCAGTCATGCATTCCTCTTGTGTATTTTTTTTTAAATAAAATACAGCCACGGGGGCTGTAATTCACAGCAGACTGCCAGTGCAGGGGAACTGCCTTGCCCCCACCACAAGTGAGCACCACAACATCTCCACACTGTATACCTAGGAAAAGCTGTTTCAGAAGCAAGTTTTAGTGGAAAAACTGCCACAGGAGAAAGGGTTAAGAAGCTCTTATTGACACACAACTCAGCATCATGTGTAGTTTAGCCCTTAGACTGTCACTCAAATGGAGAGATCAGTGTGTGAGATCAGAGACCTCCACGGAAGAGAGGGAAGCTGTTCCATGCATGCATTAGAGATCAAGGGCCTGGAACTGGTTACTATATCAGCAAGATAAATTCATTAGAATCAAGACTGGATGTTAAGACTGGTAACCTCAAACCACTCCTACCTCTTTGAGGATTTATCTCAGTATAGTCACTATCTGATAATTGTGGGCTTAATCTGGAGATACTGTGTGTAAAAAGTGTGCTGCATATAACAAATACCACATGTGGTACTTTGATGTGGATACACATTGATTGCACGCAGTCCAACTATCTGCACTGTGTCAGACTTGTGTTCTGTTGATCCACCCATGATTCCTTTGTTACCTCACAAAATGGCATCTCATGTTAAGTTTCTGTACACATAAAAATGTGAAATGTGAGCATTTTCAGAAACCATAGGACTTAAGCTGAATGAATGAATAAACAATGTCTTGCCTACATTGCTGTCCTTCCACCATGGTTACCTTGGCCTGCTCCTGTTTCCTATCTATCCATGGGGTTGTGTCCAACCAGGTCACCCCATCTGCACAAGAACTTCTGCTTTTGAAATAAAACTTCCCCCTCCTCTTCTCCCCCCATGTGCATTGCAGCCCAACCCCCCAATCTCTGGAGGATTGGGGAGACCCACTGAGAACAGATTTAGGGTGTGTGCTGTGGAAGGAGATGTGGGGGGAATTATATTGTGATACAGCACAGGATTTCCAATGATTTCACCCTCTGCCATCATTACAAAACATTTCCAAATTATTTGAGAAATGAGACGGAATACATCCTGCAAAAGTTGCACAGGTTTTTGGTGCAGAACATAGATTTGGAAAAGGTGACTTGGTTCCTCAGTTGTGTAGTACGTAATATGAACCATTGTCCCTTTGCAAAAAGTAATGATGCATGGCACCTTTTCAGTTAAAAGAGGCCATATGAACTTTAATTACAGTTAATAGCACTGGCAACCCTGCGCATGTCTTACATTAGAAATGGGAAACTGAGGGACAAACAGGAAAGACAATGGGACACACAGCCTTAAAAATTCCAAGCTTCATAATATTCATCATGGCAATATTGTTCTCAACACATACCTAAGCATGTATATATAGCCTGTCCTTCGAAAACATTTCCACTGTTATTGTCTGTGGTTGATCTTATGATGCTGCTTATAATATACTCACACAGTAATGTTTGCATTTTTTTTAGTTATGATGCAAGCCGTTTGGATTATTGCAATGCATTATTGCAGCTGCCTTTGAAGATTGTTTGGAAGTTGCCATTAGTTCAAAACGCAGTTGATTTGGAATTACTGACTTATTAGACTGCCACTTTTGAGATTGCTCAACTGGCTCTTAGTCTGTTTCTGGGCACAATTAAAAATGCTTGCACTGAAGTGAACTATGGTAACTTAAAATGCTTTAGGACCACAAGTACCTTAGCAGTTGCCTTCATCTACCCAGAGCCTGCACAAAGCTGAACAGACGAAGATGGCCTCATAGCTAATAAGTACCTGAAGGATTAGTGTTGTGTGTTAGCTTTTGGGGGATTAACATTATACGAGGGTCCTCCACTCACACACGGCAGATTATCCTAATAATCAAGGACAAACTTTTTTTGTAGTTTTTATTGAAATTTCCAATGTTGCAATGCAATATGATACAAAAGAAAAAGCAGAGACAAAGTAAGGCAGAAAGAACAGAGGGCAGAGAAGTAATTGTATCTACTGCATCATAGATAAACCTTCTTTAAATGGAAAAATGAAAATATGGGTAGGAAGAGAGCAGAGGTGTTGATAAAGTTAGTACACTTCCAAATTTCATGCTGCTGAGAAGTGGCCTGTTATCTGCACATACTCATGAATTGGCATTGCTGGGTGTGTTGAAAATATCAACAATTAATGATTTATCACATATCTTCAGTCCATCTAGAACTCTTCCAGAACTGTTTCTTGGAACAGCTCAGATGCTGCTATTTCCCTTTGGTGCAGAAATTTATAGGTACTTTCCTAAATTTAGAGAAACATGTTGTCTTAGATGAAAGCTCTTTTCAAAGAATATTTATTTATTGTATGCATATCCTGCTCTTCTTACATGGATCTCCCATCCAGATTGCGGACTAAGTCCACACCCACTTGGCTACAGCCTCTGATATTCCCAGAGCTTCAGCTTACTGGAAGTTAAGAGAAGCAATAACCATTTCCTTAAACATTTGCATTGTCACACAGAAAGGATAGCAATGTAATTTTGTTGTAGAAATCAAGGAATTACCCAACTAGAAATCACCCTTTTGTATATGTTGGTTGTCGCTTCATTATTCAGCTTCATTTTGTGTTTCTCAAAGTCTAGTCAAGTGGTGGTTATCAGAGATACATAACTACTGTTGGCACTATATTGGCCCCAGAGTATAAATGATACAAAATAGATACGGTAATCAATCTTCATGAAGCCAAACAGAGTTAACTTCTAAGAGTACAGTGGTACCTCGGGTTACATACGCTTCAGGTTACATACGCTTCAGGTTACACACTCCGCTAACCCAGAAATAGTGCTTCAGGTTAAGAACTTTGCTTCAGGATGAGAACAGAAATCATGCTCTGGCAGCGCGGTGGCAGCGGGAGGCCCCATTAGCTACAGTGGTGCTTCAGGTTAAGAACAGTTTCAGGTTAAGAACGGACCTCTGAAACGAATTAAGTACTTAACCCAAGGTACCACTGTACTGTAACACAAAAGCATACCGGTACATATACTTACACGAAAGAAACAACACCCCACACCGATACTATGCAGGTCTAGCCAGAAGTTAAGTCCCACTGGGCTCAATGGAACTTGCTCCCAGGAAAATTGGTACAGGATTACAGCCTTCACAGGCTGACTCAGTATTATGCAGCTTCATATGTACAAGATATATTGAAGTATCAGAATGCAAATGCATTTTTTTAAAAAGAGTAAAGTGCTTATCGTTGGCTGCCATTTACTTTATCCAAGTTGCTCCCAATTCTCGCTAAAGGTACGCTGCACTCCTCTGCCGCAAGTCTTACCTTGCCTGAAGAGCCCCTTCGCTCGCTGCTCAAGAGGCAGGCTTGCTGCTACCTGGAAATAAAAGCTGCAGTTACCTCACAGCACAGCAATGCTATCAAGAGAGAAAGGTCACATATGCACAAGATGCTAAGAGAAGTAGCTGGACGTTAATGGGGATGTGGAAGCTATGCTCAGGAGCACCGCATCTGTTCGCCTCCGCAGACTTTCCAAGCAGAGGCAAAGGAACTCCCTGAGCGCTGCTGGCAAGGGAGGAATCACCTTTCTGCCAGTGAGTCATTCGAGCAAGTGAAGGGAAGCCTCGATCCTCTCCATCCACACCCCTCTCCCAGACCCATGGCATGCCACGATTGCTATGGCAGGGCGGCGCGGCGCGGCGCATCTGTCCGTGCGCGCGTACACCTGCTGGCTCCAGCCGCTCACTTCTTCGCAGAAATGGCCTGCGGGGAAAGAAAATGCCCCGGGATTTTTTAGAAAATCTATTTTTAGGTCTTTGAGATTTCTTGGCAGTAAAGGCACTCGAAGGAAACTCCCGCGCGGGGAAACGAAAAGAAAACCACCCTGCTCAGAGATTTGCGCTGATTTGCAGGCGCCCGGGAGAGAGATCCAACTGGTTCAGTCTGGGCGAGCCGCTCCAAGAAGCCAGGAGGCTACGTGTGCGAGGGAGCGTAAGCTTTGCGGCTGGAGAAAGATCGCACAGGGCAGGAGAGCAGCAGCGGTGAAGAGAAAGCTCCTGTGTAAGGGAGGAATCAGATCGGCGCGGCTGATATCCCGTAAACAAAGTGCTACATGTCCGTCCCTTTCTCCCTAGCCATTGCAAAATAGTCACAATAATAATTCTTCCCACTGGGAAGAATTATCTCCCAGTTAAAAAGCAAACTTTGCTTTCTCCCAGTTGAAAGCAAACAAACAACTGATAAATATTTGGCCAGGAGTTTATTCCAGCCTTTACAGTTTGGACGTGTTGGTCTTTCCTCCGAATATGATTACTAAGGACAACCCAAAGCTCTGGGTTAAGATTAGCTGGCTCACTAATCGCGCTTCTTTGATGATAAGGCACGACTCTGGCTTGGTCGTTTCTCGCCGCCAATTCTGTAACTATAACCACTTCCACCAATATTTTGGTGGATCTTGGCTGTAAACTGCAGCTTGCAGTATAAACATAGTTCGGGAGGGAGAGAGGACCGACAGGGAATAGGTCTACCAAGATTGCTAGCCGTAACTACATGAACCTCCATGTGCAGAGGTACTCTATCTCTGGGTAACCGGGTGCTGGAGGGCAAACAACGGGAGAAGTCCGTCGCGCTCATGCCCTGCATATAGGGGCGCTTGGTTTTTTTGTGTTGTTGTTTTTTTTGTTGTTTTTTTTGCAGAAGCCCCTACTGGAAAGAGAATGAGAGACCAGTTTGACCTCGCTGGTTCGCTCTAGCGGGGCTGACTAAGCTGAAGGCCCAGCACCCGCGCCAGGGCAGCGCGGCAGCTCCGCTAGATTTCGCCGGGGGCACAACTCGTGTCACTCGGGGGGCGGCGTATGCCCGTTGACATGCCTGACCCCGGGCGATTCCGCCGAGAAGCGGTGCAAAGTGGCCTCGTTTCCAAGCGTCGCCTGCCCCCCGCGGCCTGACTAATCCGCACCCGAAAGTCATACCTAGCCCCGCCCCCTGCCCCCCCACCTCCCAGGCGCTGCTCTATAAAAGGGCGCAAAGTTGAGCGCTGAGCAGTCAGTAGAAACTTCAGTGGCGCGCAGGACGGGCTCGGAGCAGAGGAGCTCCTGGGAGGAACTGGGATACCTTTATATTTTGGGGATTTACCGTCAAGCAAGGATCCAGTGTGCGCACAGCCGGACTTCAGTGGATTATCTTCGCTATCAGGTCTGCGCTTTTCCTCGCTCGTTAACTGGATGGGGAAAGAAGCACGCAAGGAGGGGAGGGGGTCGACAGCAGAGCTGGCAAAGTTTTGCGTCTTTAGCACATGGAGGGGGGGGAGTTCGGGTTACAAGTCAGCGGCCCCGCTTTGGAAACTGGAGGGCCGGGCGCGGAGTGAAAGGGGTAGCGCTTGAGTTGATCTCCGCGCCGCGCGGTGTGGGGTGGGAGAGGGGGAGAGAGCGCAGCCGGCTTGAGAGAGCGCTGCCTGCATCGAAGGGCATGAGAATCAAGGTGTTGTTCGTGACGCGCTGGAGCCTGAGAAAAGGGGAGCTTAGCCTTCACCTTTCTGAGCAAATCGAAAGCTTGACAAATGTGCAGGCGGGAGACGAGGCCCCCTGGGTCGATCCTGCCGTGATGAATGGCTGAGCAAATATTGGACGCGAGCGTCACGAGTCCCCGGTGCTCCGGGACAGGGCGGCGCAGGGAGGGCGGAAGGAAGGAGCACCCCTCCCGGGGACCCCTAGTTAGTTGCCCCCCGAGCAAGGCGTTGCGCGTCTCCCCACCCCACCCCGCCGCCCTTGGAGGAGGAAAAGGCTGCTAACACCCCCTCTTCTCTCCCTGGCCAGGATGAAAGTGGTTTCCCTCGCCCTACTCTACCTGGGCTCCGTCTCCTTCTTCGGGGTGGAGGCTGCCAAGCTGGACGTCGCGTCGGACTTCAAGAGAAAGTAAGTAGCCGTCGTCGGAGCTTGTCCCACGGGGGGAGGCAACATCTTCGAGGGCGCCGAGGGAAGCGCAGAGCGGAGGGCGCAAGGCGCTCCGCCCCCGGCGCTCCTCCTCCCCGTGCCCTCGCCGAGACGCCTGCGCTGCAACCTGCCCTCCGAAGGCAGGAGTCCCCTCGGGCGGGCTGGCTTCCTTCCCCCTCAGCGCCCCCTTCCTTCCTTCCCTCTCTCACCGGCCTCCCCTGCCTCTCCTCAGGTGGAGCAGCTGGCGAGCCCGGCGGGACGGGCCGGTGCCACCGCTCACCGTGGCGCAGGCGGCAGCCCTCGGAGAAGGCAAGCGCCCCGCAGACAGTCAGGCAGAAGCAGCAGCAGCAGCAGCCGCAGCCGCTGAGCACAGGCCGGCGCTCACCGCGGCCCAGGCGGCTGCCGGAGTGAAGAGGCCCGCGCGCAGCCTGGACAGGTAATTATCCGACTATTATTCTTCCCTCATGGGGCTATTACTGCTGAGGCGCTCGCTGGAAGCAGCTTGTTGGGGGGCGGGGAGAGTGAGCGGCGCTGTTGCGCGCAGAGGGCTTTTGGCGGGAGAGCGCAGGCTGGGCTGCGGGGAGGGCGCGCAGAGTTCCCGCTGGGGGACGTCCCTTCGGAAGGGGCCCAAAGCGACTGACAGCAGCGCGATGCTAATCATACGTTTGCTGCGCTCGGCGGTTTAGGACTGGAAATAAACCACGTGGTAGTGGTGGGGGGCGGAAAAAGGAAGAGGAAAAGGCCTCGGTCCTTGTGAAATAACCCCGGCTGGGCTAGCTGCCCTTCTGAGGCGACAAAGCTGCTCTTCCCCCTGCCACTATTTCCGTGGAGCTGCAGCTCCCATGAGCCCCAATGGGTAAGGGACGGCGAGAGCTGTAGTCCCGTCCAGCCAGGCGGCTGCGGTTTCCCGCCTGACCTCGCTGACTCCCGCCGCCTTCTCTCTGCTTGCTTCCTCCGCAACAGCCTTCGCGCGAAGCGCAACCAGGTGACCAACATCCAGAACTGGAGGGAGATGTGCGGGTTCGGGACGTGCACGGTGCACAACCTCGTGCACATCATCCACCACTACATGGACAAGGACAAGGACGTCTCCGCCCCTCCCCAGAAATTCGGCCCGCAGGGCTACGGCCGCCGCAGGAGGCGCTCGCTGCTGGACTCCGCCGCCGCCTCCTCCTTCAGCGGGAGAAGCACACGGACAGCGTCCCGCCTGCTGGCCTTGCTGCGGGAAGGCGGCTCGGCTGGGGCCCTGGCCCAGCAGCCCTAGCAAGCGAGGGCCGAGACCTGTTGCCCGAGGGGAGCCTTCGGCGCTCGGCAGGCGGGGAAAGGGGGCTCGCCCACCTTCAGGGATCCGGAGGCCACCGGCAGGAACGCGGGCGGGGAAGGCGGGCGGCGGCTGAGCCCGCGCTGCGCCTGGAGGGACGGAAGTGGAATGATGAAACTGTGCAAAAAAGGACCTTTCCCCTCCCTTGTGTGGTGGTGAGCTTTCGGTGGTGACGGGCTCTTCCCTTCTGCTCCCCGCTTCTCCCCCTCTCCCCCCTTCACACGGCAGGGAACCGGCGACCCGCAAGCCCCTCTCTGGGCAGGGGCTGCTGTCTTATACTTGAACGGCCTGGCCAGGCGAAGTGCAATGGACTCGGTGGGCGCGAGCGGCTGAGCAGGAATGAGTGGCTGGGTGGATGTTTGCATGAAAGGAATGCGCCGTATTTAAAGAATTGTCTCCTGTCCTTGTATTCTTTTTAACTACAGAGTTATTTTTATATGTTATATATATATATATAACAATATATATATTGTGTATGGGCATTTTTTTTACTCCGTTATTTTTTTTAGCATTGAGAATGTCAACCTTCGTCTTCATCCTGGTGGCACCATAACCATTTTTCTTTTTGGCGAGGCACAATGCATTTCCGCGGGAGGGTTGTGGAGGTAGCAAGATTTGTCGTACACAATCTATTTATGAATGATGGTACATTTCATGTTAACGCTCCTATTCTAAACAATTTTTCTGTGAAGTCAGTCCTCTTGGTTTCATTGGGGTTAACTACTAAGCACGCTTAGGACTGCAGCCTTATTGTAAATCTCCAGTTTCGGTTAGAACTGGTATGTGAAAAGTGCCTTTCTGCAACCACATAGTACAGCATTGGGGTGCAAACTACTTGGGGTGGGGGCTTGCCCCCTTCTTGTGCCACCTACAGTTTTCATTTTGTCTTGGTTTGTCTGGTTGTCATATTCTTTCCTTGTTTGCCATGGTTTATCACATTCCGGACTGGTAAAAAAATGTATCACTGTTCTCTCCGGGGGCAGCATGTGAAAATAAAATAAACATTATCACACAAAAAGTTCCTGATTGGTGTTTTTAGATAAAACCAGTGAACTTGGCACAGGGGGGAGCCTTGTTATTTACTCAGTTTCCATCTTTAGAATCAGATGGATTTAAAACTGCTAAACAGCAGGTAATTTGTCATTCTCCACCAAGCCAGGACTCTGAGCCAAAATTGCCCCAAATATGTCCAACCTAATAAACATCATAAAGTCATAATAAATGCTTTCAAGTGAAGACTCAGGGCTGTTGAGGCAACTCCAAGGTCTCCAGTCCTTATACATGTTTCAAGTGGAGCTGAAACATGTCAGAGCTTGGATTGATCATCAAGGGTTTTTTGGGTTGGTTTTTTTTTTCTTTTTTGCTGCAATTAATCAGAGGAAACAACTGCACTGCTTTCACATTGCACAACAAACAGATTTATAGAGAGAAGGAACATGTTCCAAAAGAAAATGGTCAGGGTAGCTTCCAAGGTTATTTCTGAAGGATTTCCTGGGCCACAGTTCAGGTTGAACCCAGAGGATTATCATGGGCAGAACTCGCATTCCTAAAGCCACAGACCAAAAAACAACATGAAACGTTCCAACCCTAGTGTCTCGCTGTAAGAGATTTATGTAACCACAGCACCATCTACTGGCAGTACTTAGCCATTACTATTGCAGTTCAGTTTCCCAAGCCTGTTAGTGTTGTAAGTCATCTGTAGCAGATTGTATTTATGCTCTGTTGTTATGTAGTGATAGTAAACCTCTTTGGAACTAAGTAAATAACCATGATATTAAACCTTTCAGGAATGGGTAAATTTGAGACTGGAAAGGCACTCGTGAGTAATGTGAAAAGATACGTTGGACAGCAGTATCTTAAATCCTGGTTGATAACAGCATCGGCCACAATGCTGATTAAGGCTGGGAGTTATAAATGCTTCAACAAAATACAAACAGAAGTAATTCTATCATTAGCAGAATAGCATCAAAATTGGACTAGCAATAGTCATGAAATAATTTAGTTGCCAATGCTATTTATGAGTTTTGCCAGTAACCCACTTTCCATGTAACATAGCAATTTATTCATCTAGTTCAGTGCTGCTGCTGCTGCTGCTACTCCTCACTGGCAACAGCTGGTTTCAGGTACAGGTGTTCCACATCACCTTCTACAAAGTAGCTGATCCTTAAATAAAACAAGTGTTGCCAAGGATTGAACCTGGGACCTTCTGTTTGCAAGCTAGTACTTTGACACTCCCACAAGGTATCTTACTAAAGCTTATTGATTTTTATGTAATTATGGTAACAAACGTCCTTATGGCAAGAGATCTAAGAAATGCAGAATGTTTTCCTTTGTTTCTGGCTTTCTTCAATGCCACACTTTTGAAGCTGCAGCTAAATGCTCGTTTAAGAAGCCAGATACCTTCTTTATTTATGGTCTTTGTAGCTCTTGGTCATGCTACTCTCACTTGAGCATTATTTCCAAGATGAACCGAATAGTTCACACCCATCATGTACTGCAACACAATTCTCATGTACAGTGGTACCTTGGGTTACATACGCTTCAGGTTACAGGCTCTGCTAACCCAGAAATAGTGCTTCAGGTTAAGAACTTTGCTTCAGGATAAGAACAGAAATCGTGCTCCAGTGGCATGGCAGCAGCAGGAGGCCCCATTAGCTAAAGTGGTGCTTCAGGTTAAGAACAGTTTCAGGTTAAGAACAGACCTCCGGAACGAATTAAGTACTTAACCCGAGGTACCACTGTACAAGAAAGGCAGAGATTAGAGAAGCACTTGATGTTCTTCAAATTGTGTACAAACTATAAATAAAAACACCTATCAAGCGTGATATTCCTCCTAGGTAGCAACATGCCTTAGGCAAACTTTGAATTACTTCAACCACCCAAGTAGATATGCATAAAGCTTCAGAGGAAATGTACCACCATGTGTTCATTTACATGCACACAATATGTAGGTTACTGGGATTCAAAAAATAAAGTAAACATTATATTCATATGGCTACTTCTTATGCTCTGAGTTGAACTGTCAGCTACATCTGCAGCCTTCAGTTATATTTGTCCATGTATGTAGGATGGTAAAGTATGGTCATTTCTCTTCATTCCTAATTCCTATTGTAATTATGTTTGCTATTACTGCTGCTAAAACTTCCATAACAACCTGCTTCTGTTCTCTCTCTCTCCCCTCCCCAACCCCTCACACACACACACTTCATCAAAGTAGTTACTTGTCATTTTTATTGTTTTCCAACTTTACATAACTTTCTGGGGGTATTTTTATTCCTTAATGCCTTAGAGTGAGTCTGAGCATGTTCTAGTCTAGGGGTCAGCAGACTTTTTCAGCAGGGGGCTGGTTCACTGTCCCTCAGACCTTGTGGGGGGCGGACTATATTTTGGGGGGGAATGAATGAATTCCTATGCCCCACAAAGAATCCAGAGATGCATTTTAAATAAAAGCACACAATCTACTCATGTAAAAACACCAGGCAAGCCCCACAAATAACCCAGAGATGCAGGCGGGATTTAGAAGGCGATTGGGCCGGATCTGGCCCCCAGGCCCCCATGTTCTAGTCTGTAAAAACAGACATGGTTACTTTAAAGTCCAGAACCATTTCTACTATTTCTAATGCTATTACAAAAGGATATGATGATTTTATTATTGCTACTCTGTAATAGTAGCAGTGTTAAAGTAACGGTTGAGAATATGAGATGCATCGCTTTGGTTATGTGTTTGAGTATGCATCAAAACATCCCAGCTACATCTAAAGAGGCCCTCATCTCTATTTATTTATTTAGGGATTATCATCTGAAACATAATTATAATTCAAATTGGTAGTAGCAGCTGGGTTTAGCTTTGCTTATTTACACACCAGCACCTGCAGATTTTGTGAGAGCAATGTAACATTTCCAAAAATGCTTGAAACATTTTGCCTTATTTGGGTATTCTGAGCTGCTTTCTTGTGAAAAAGAATAGCTAGCAGCAAATGACGGTTTAGAGAGTGGCTTAGGGCAGAATCAGAACCCACCCCCAGTACAAATTAGTTTGCACAATGAAATACGTATCCTACTTTTGGCAGGAAAGTAGGATATATATATAACAACCCATGAAACAAACAGTACATAACATATCAGACAGGATCCTCACCTCAACTGAAACCAAAGTACTCTCCAAAGGTTTCAACTTTGCAGTCGCCCCGAGACGCATCCCCACGGAAAACATCATATGCGGAGTCGAAGCTAGCCTAACCAAAATCAACCCAGATGAAGCCAATAAAATCAGACTTGAAGTCACCAACATCCTCTGCTCCAGCAAACCACCCAGAAGCAATTTACACAAAGAAGAACAGAAAGCACTCACCAACCTGAGGAAAGACAACAACATAATCATTCTCCCAGCAGACAAAGGTAATGCCACTGTTGTGATGAACACATCGGACTACCAAGCAAAACTATCAAATCTACTCCAAGACCCTACCTACCAACCTATAAAAACAGATCCCACCACCTATCTGGAAAAAACCACCAAATCCAAAATAAAAGCCTCTCCTATCAGTGAAGAAATCCAGCTAAGAATCATCCCCAGAGAAAAATCATCCAGATGCCCCAAACTCTACGGCCTCCCCAAGATACACAAAGAAGGAACACCACTCAGACCAATAGTCAGCTCCATAGGCTCACCTCTACAAAATCTCGCTAAATTTCTCGCTAAGCAACTTCAGCCCTATGCAGAATCCATCTCTTCACACGTTACAAACTCCTTCCAGTTCATAGAAACAATAAAGAAGCAAAACCTACATCCCGATGACCTACTTGTGAGCTTCGATGTTGTATCTCTCTTCACACAAGTGCCCATTAATGAAGCCTTGACAGCCATTCAAAACAAATACAATCCCCCCGAATACATCCTGGACCTGACCAACCACTGCCTAACCAACACGTACTTCATCCACAATGGACAAAGATACAAACAGATAGAAGGAGCACCTATGGGATCACCCCTCTCACCGGTCATCGCAAATCTGTACATGGAACACTTTGAAACCAATGCTTTAGACAAGTCAGAACACAAACCCAAACTTTGGCTCAGATATGTTGACGACACCTTTGTAATTTGGCCACACGGGAAGGAAAAACTAGATAGCTTCCTCACACATCTCAACAGCCTACACCCCAAAATACAATTCACTATGGAAATAGAAGCCAACAACCAACTTCCCTTCCTTGACGTCCTAATCTACAAAAAACCTGATGGCTCCCTAGGACACACTATCTACCGGAAAAAAACACACACCAACCGCTACTTACATGCACAATCACACCACCACCCTGCACAAATAAACTCCGTAGCCAAGACTCTCATCTCCAGAACCAAACGCCTGGCTGACAAAGACCACTTGACAACTGAGTTACAGAATCTCTCAAATGTGTTAATCGCCAATGGATACCAGCAAAACAGGGTTACGAAGCTAATCCAAAAAGAAACACCCCCCAAAAACCAAGACACAGAAGAAAACAATGGCATGGCCCTCCTTCCTTATATCAAGGGCACTACAGATAAAATTAGCAAAATCCTCCATAAACACAATATCAAAACAGCCTTTTGCACCAACCAAAAAATAGCCAATATCCTCAGAAACCCCAAAGATAAAATCCAGTTGGAAAACCAAGGGGTCTATGAAATACCCTGCAAAGTCTGCCCAGCCACGTACATTGGACAAACAAACAGACGAATAAATGCACGTATCGCAGAACACAAGAATGCCGTCAAAAAAGAAGAAAAAACTTCCTCTCTTTTCCAACACATGAAAGAAACAGGACACGAAATTAATTTTGCAGATTCCAAATTGCTCTTTAACATGGAACATCACCACAAGAGAATAATCATGGAAGCCATCGAGATAGAGAAACACCCTCACAACATGAACAAGCGTGACGACACGTCCCGCCTGCCAGACATCTGGAAATTAGCCCTCCCCACAAAAACCGACACCAGATCCAGAGGCACACAGAACGCCATCA